CCATACAAAGCACTGCTCGGAGATTTATCTGATACACCCATACCTTTAAGCAAGGATGTCCGTGTGTCTAAATTAGTTTAGCAAACAAGGACGAAATAACCCAAGCCTTATAACTCCCCTGCTGATATCGCTTGCTTGCAGTCTCATAGAACAACAGGAATTCCATTTACAAAAAAAAATAAAAAAAAATTTTGGGTTCGTATCTGTTGAACGGGTGTTGTGTGTGTGTGTGTGTGGGGGGGGGGTTAGAAGAATATATACAAGAGCAATAACACTGGGGTCATGCTGAGAGGGGATTATCTTCGCATGGATCTTTGCCATATTACAATGTGACATACAGAAGCATGACTCTAAAGAATACTAAAGAAATACAAACCCTCTTCCATGATACATCGCACTAGAGCAGATAAAATATGCGAACAAATATACACACAGACACATACATAAAATACACATTCATTCGCTAACATACAAACACAAACTGATATGCGCATACATAACCATAATAATATACCAATATACAAACGTTAAATCCCATATAATAAATACACACACATACAGAAAGCATCACGCGAATTCACAACAACAATGTATGTAAACGCAACAAAAAGCACGTTATCAAATAGACAAACGTTCACACACGCACACACACACACGCACGCTCTCACTCACACACTTGTAAACACACGCACTTACACGCACAGACACACATTCACACAACATAGACACACGCACTCACACACGCGTTTTCAAGCACACACACTCACACCCCTGCACAAAGTCTCAGTGTTTATATTACGACGATACGTTTGATCTTTGCGGGCTGTGGAAAAACGACTATCAATAGAAAACGTCTGTATGTCCGGTACAACATAGAAAATTAAGAAAGTCAAACAAGGAAGAGACCGATAAACAATGCGAATTAAATTGACATACCAAACTAACATGAAATCATTTTTGTTATTCTTGATAAAGGTTGTACAATATTTTTGTGGTTAGCTGGAGTGGCTTGACCCCGACACAACAGTTCCTTACTCCTGGTTCGCTGTTTATTCTAGTCGTACAATACAATTATTTTTCTATACAGAATTTATCAACACAACAGGAATTCAAACCGATAAAAAATACTTGCTCTACGAGTTACAAGTTCAGATATTTCATACACCGATAGCATGTCGGGTATATTTGTCTGTTTTCTCTCAAGTGTGTTTGTTTGTCAAAGTATGTCTGTTTTCAATTGGCACACATATGGTGTTGGATAGCCTACCATTAAAGAGCCAATCACAAGTTTTAGTTTAGAAAGAAATAAAATAAATAAATATAAATGAAACTGAAATTGAAAATAAAATGAAATAAACAGGGAGTGATCTCCCCTAAACTTTCTCGAATATTCTAATATAACACTACGGGGGATAGCAACTCGGAATATAGACATGATTTTTGTTAACTTAAACTTTTAAAAATAGATTAAAATCTAGTCGAAAAAAGAATTGTGAACCAAGTGAACGCCAAAACAAAATGTGCATAATAGTTTACACACACACACACACACAGACACACAGACAGACACACAGTCATACGGACAAGATTGCAAAATTATGTTTTTCTGTATCAGTGAGGTGTAAAACGTCGATATTTGTAAAAATCTCGATTTTTTTCTTGCGCGATTACAAGACTTGCTCAATACTGCGTATATACGAGAAAGTAAAAAAAAAAGCAGAACTTAGGACTTGAGTACTAGATGCTTGTATCAATATATTGCACATCCCAACTTACAGTTTAAGTTTGTAACGATATCTCCTCCGACGTATAGAGTACAGCTTTAGTAAGTCTCAGTCTAATTGAAATCGACGTGGGAAAACCATTAAAGAAAATTATAATGTCGTCAGGATAAAACTCAAAACCCGCCCCTTGTGTGTGACGTCATCATGGAAGACCCTCAATAAACATAACTAATTAGTGCGGGTATTTTGTGAACATCGCTTTAGTGCTAATTAAGACAAAAATATTACAAAAGATACAGACACCAATATAAGACGCTATTGAGGTTTAACCATCCAGTGTTAAATGTGCCCAACTACAGTCTACACACAAATATTGATTTGTTTAAATAATAGTTTAATCAGATCCAGCTTCTTAATTTTCTTTGTTTTTAATCTCCCTCCCTTTATACTATGTAGGTTACACCCATAGCAATACAGAAATACATTAAGAAACATTAAGAAACATTAAGAACAGAATATTTTACACGACATTTAAAAATACAAACAGGGTCGATGTTTTTTTAAACCATTGAGACAAGCCTAAATTTTAATTCCTTGTAATTTAAGTGACTTCTAATCTCCCACCGCTAGTAGCCAATGAAAACGCTTGAATTTTTTTAAAAAGTGCAGTTTACATTGCACAAAGAGACTAATCTAAAAGTTAATACAAATTCGAGACAAAAAAAAAACAGTTTTAACAAGAACCTAAGGAGATAAAGAATACCAATAACCAGTGTTTCTTCCAGACTTTTTTCTCCGGGGGGCACTAGAAATTTTCGGGGGGGGGGGGGGGGGCGGTAGACTTTCTTCGGGGGGGGGGGGGGGGGGGGGCGGACACTGTTAAAAGTATATATTTTCTATATAAATTATATAAATTTAATTTCGTTCGGGGGGCGGTAAAAAATTTTCGGGGGGGGGGGGGGGGTCTTCGCTCCCCCGAAGAGATGCCTGGAAGAAACTCTGCCAATAACTGGGTTATTTCAGTGCTGTCTGTTGCCACGGTAAGCGAGCTAATTACTCGTGAGGATAATTAATTAGTGTATTCCCTTAACACAAACGGAAGCAGGTAGAGGGTATTAATTGGTTGAAATACTCGCTGCACAATTGATTTAATTAAAAAGTGAAGTAATTGCAGCAAAGCTGAGTGTGGGAACTAATTAACGAAGAAAATTTAGCACAATTGAGTTAGGAAACTAATTAATAAAGTACCTAAACAGAATCACGATATTACAGGATCATTAATATTAATAGCTAACAGAAATTGACAAAAAAAAACTTCACATCATCCCCACAAAGACCCCCACATCACCCCCACAAAGACCTTCACATCACCCCCATAAACACCCCCACATCACTCCCACATGACCCCCACAAAGACCCCCACATCACCCCCACATAGAACCCCACATCACCCACACAAAGATCTCCACATCACCCCCACAAAGACCCCCACATCACCCCACAAAGACCCCCACATCACCCCCACAAAGACCCCCACATCACCCCCACAAATACCTCCACATCACCCACACAAACACCTCCACATCACCCCCACAAAGACCCCCACATCACCCCCTCAAATACCCCCACATCACCTCCATAACGACCTCCACATCACCCCACAAAGACCTCCACATCAACCCCACAAAGACCTCCACATCACCCTCACAAACACCTCCACATCACACCATAAAGACCTCCACATCACCCCATAAAGACCTCCACATCACCCCCACAAAGACCTCCACATCACCCCCATAAAGACCTCCACATCACCCCCATAAAGACCTCCACATCACCGCCACAAAGACGTCTACATCACCGCCACAAAGACGTCCACATCACCGCCACAAAGACGTCCACATCACCGCCACAAAGACCAACACATCACTCTATAAAGACCTCCACATCACCCCATAAAGACCTCCACATCACCCCATAAAGACCTCCACATCACCCCATAAAGACCTCCACATCACCCCACAAAGACCTCCACATTACCCCATAAAGACCTCCACATCACCCCACAAAGATCTACACATCACCCCCACATAGACCCCCACATCACCCCCACATAGACCCCCACATCACCCCCACGTAGACCCCCACATCACTCCCACATAGACCCCCACATCACCCCCACATAGACCCCCACATCACCCCGAGATTTCCCATGAACCAGCGGTACCAACAAATGGAGTCTCGAGTTCTTAGAACTATTGTCTCTAGCCGGCACATCTCTAACATCTAACATATAATGTTTTTAAGGGGTGGGTGGGGGTGGGGTGGGGGTGGGGGCTCTGATCTGCTTAATAATGAATTCATCTTCTCTCTATACCAGATACCGCACGTGACAATTGCAATTTAGTTATTGATTTTTTGAAAATCGATTATCGACCTGATGTTAAAAATATAAGGCTGTACTTTAAATTATTCAATGGTTAACGTTAAGAATATTTTGTTTCTGGCAAGTGTTGGTGCAGGAGGGGGGGGGGAGTAAATGGAAAATAAGGGTGGTATTTTATTAGTGTGGTGGGCTCTGGGACTTCCTATTGACTCAAACCCGAGATCCGAACTCTAGACTTTTGGGTTTGTTTGCGTACGCTTTTCAACTTGACATCTCCGTCCCAACTACCGCCTATAACCCCCACATAAAAATAACGTTTTTTTTAAAATATATATTTTGAAACACAACTTTTCCGAGCAAATTCTTATTTACGTTTTTCATCACTTACAATAGTAAATTCGTAAACCAAACGTACAGGTGTCACATTATACCTGTTACATAACTGTAGCTATTGACATGGGCACGGGGGGTTAAAAAGCTAGACCCCCCAAAAGGACGTCAAATTAGGTGTCGTCTCACGTTGTTGGTACCATTGTGGTATTGGGGATGGCGCGGTCACTGTATGTTTACAATTTCTAAGATTTGAATGTCGCAAAAACGTTCAGAAAATCCTTATTGATAATATATTAATGAACCAATAATTAATCCTTAATACACTAATGCAAAATTATGTATATGCGTATGTATATACGCCGCTGCCTGTAAATATAACACACCTGTAGTCGTAACAGTACTAACGCACCTGTACCTGTAAAACCACTGTCTTACACAGCTGTAACTAAGCGAAGCTGAAATGCCACCTTCTCGTACACATACTGTTACAAATTGTATGTAAATTCACGCATTGCATGTCATGAATTAAACTGAAACTGAAACAATTTCTACCTTACCTCAATACTCAAACAGTCCTTTAAATATCCCTAGAAAAAAAAAAAGAAAACCTCCGTGACTTCAGTAAACAGCCAGTAAACATTCTTATAAACACAAACAACAATCTGGAACTCTAAAAGCCAGAATACCCAGTGGTATTTTTGTAGCAGGCTTGAATCATCAATTACAGAAGCCCACGCTTTGGGAATTCCCGAAACTGGTTTTAATTCGTGACCTATATAATCTACCTGTGTAACTTAACCTTTGAACAAGATAAACATAACACATTCACGCATTGGCGAGATATGAAGACACTTTCAAGAGAGAAAAAAATTGTAAATTGATTTATAATTGTTTCTTCAGTTTTTTAATCGTTTTTTTTATGTCAGTCTTAATTGGTTAAAATTACAGGCTAATGAAAGCGTTATTGTTAAATAATTATTACAAGTTTTCAAGGGAAAGTTTTTTTTCTCCATTAAGTATATCGTAATCGTGAGTTTTCTTTAAACTAATGCTACCAATCTGCGCCGGCAGGGCTTAAATTGGCCTAGTGCATGGACTTAGGGAAATGGGCATGAACCTAGGCATAGGGATGGAGTTAGGTAGAGGGCATGGATATAGACAGAGGGCACGGATCTAGGCAAAGGGCACGGAACTAGGCAGAGGGAACGGAAATAGGGCAAAAAATCATTAATTTCTTGTGTTTTATATTTTGAAAGATCTATCCGAGAAACAAAAAACAAAATCGTAAAGTGCTTTGTAAAGTGTTTTTTTTTTCATGTTGACAAAACAACTATATTATGAGTAAATACCAATTTGTGACTAAACACAACAAGTGTTAGATTAATTAATTACGCGTTACATCAATTTGTTGGTAACAAGCATCTTCCAATCAACTCTGACTTCACATCTGAACCCTCATTACATGATTCAAGAATGTAAGTATTTGTTTTTTTTTTCTATATTTCCGGAATCTCTTGAAACTTGTCAAAAGACTTGATCGGTCTGGATTTGATCTATTTACTTTTGAACCTATTGAATAAGGTTCAACGGACTGACTTAAAGAATGTTTTTTTTCTACAAGATGTACCTTCCAACCTAGCTCTCAAGTGGGTATTCAGTGATTTGTCATTCCACTATATAATCAGTGTGGGTGTATCTCTCTCACACACACTCTTTCTCTCTCTCTCTCTCTCTCTGTATATATATATATATATATATATATATATATATATATATATATATATATATATAATTTAATGGCGGAGGAGAGGGGGGAGTGTCGATGCCTGTTGACTCGATGCAATTTGTAAAATATAAGATCGACATCGAGCTTGGGATTAAAACATCATCAGATTAGTATGGGATTAGAACATCATCAGATTAGTATGGGATTAGAACATCATCAGATTAGCTTGGGATTAATACATCATCAGATTAGCTTGGGATTAATACATCATCAGATTAGCTTGGGATTAATACATCATCAGATTAGCATGGGATTAGAACATCATCAGATTGCGATTAGAGATACAATACCAGATTATCTTGGGATTAGAGGTAGATCACCAGATTATCCTGGGATTCGTAAAACATCATTTGACTGCCTCACCAGAAAGTTTACAGAAAACATTCCTGGAAATCTAACCCGGACTCAGCATGTGTGTACAGTCGAGGGATGATGTTGACACAGAGAATTTATCCAACCACCGGGAAGTCGGTGGGAGAATTTACTTTGTTGTTTTTACAACCGTAGTTTCGGCTTCAAGCAAGATCATAGACTACAAGGAAAGGTTTTTCACCAAACCCCATTGATGTTTTGCAAATTGCATAGAATGCATGTATAATAAAATCAAGTACGTTCTTACACCGGAAGGTCACTTTTGCAAGTGAAGTAGAGTTCTTCTGTTTCTAAACTCTTGACGTATGAAGAGTTTGGTAGTTAACATTAATCTAGAATTAACCTAGCATTAATCTAGCTATCTTTACACAATTAGGCAAACTAGGCAGATAATTAGGCAAACTAGGCAGATACCTAAGCAAACTAGGCAGATATCAAGGCAAACTAGGCAGATACCTAGAGCTATCTAGAACAGAGGCGTAGCGAGGGGGGGGGGTGCCGGGGGTACGTACGTCCCCGGGCGCCGACCATAGGGGGCGCCAAAATGGGTTGAAAAAAAAAATTAAAAGCTCATTTTAGCTGCAGTTTTGCATTATAAATATAAAAAAAAATATATGGGGTGGGGGGGGGGGGGGCGCCAAATCGAAAGTTTGTCCCCGGGCGCCGGGAAGGGTCGCTACGCCTCAGATCAAGAGAAACCAGGCAGCTGTCTAGAAAAAAAATGAACATGTATAGAGCACTCACGTAGGAAAAATAGGCCGATGTATTATTTTAAAAATAATCTACAGACCAGGGTTGAGGGTTCGCTTAAAACTCCAATTAAATACTAGGAATGGCTAATTAGTATTAAGAAAAAATATATCTACAACTGACTTCACACATAATTAGGCTGTATAGCAAACAAAAACTTCTTTTTAATTGAGACTTATATATTTGTTAATAAAGCAACAGCTGTTTATCAAAACAAATCTCCTACTAGTAACAAACTCCAAATTACCGCCCCCGTAGTGTAAAAGCGGAGCTGTTGATTTCCTGAGGAACCCTAGTGATTCAAAAAAGGGGACGTAAGTTATTAGAAATCATCAAGTCATAGCTAAAGGGGAGATAATCAGCACTTGGTTGTAACGAAGTATATTGATAGTAAAGAGGGTCATTATGAGTGTCTGATAGCATAGTTAATAATTCATATAAAAACCGGTTTTTCATTGTTGAGAAAAAAACTATATATTGAAGCTAATCAATCTTCTCACACCGTCTGACTCATCCGCTAAACATTTAATTAATTATCTGTAACTAAAGATCATGTTATAAATGCCTCGTTTTTAAATTAGCTTCCCATAAAGATTAGCTACAAATGAACGTATTGTACACATATTTTTCATTTAATTAAATAACATGTAAAAAAAAATTCAGTAGTAACGTGCCCTGTAATCGCTCTAGCGACCCACCAGTCCCTAATGTGTTTTCACCCCGACCCCAACGACATATTCCGCCTACCAGATGGCTATATTTTCCTGAGGAAATCTATCAGACAAGCTTTCCCTAGGAAATCTACCTCATGCAATCCAATTACTTTCGGTGTACGTTTTCACACAGGACCAACACAGATATGTAAAGGGAAATGTATTCTGCTACGTGGGAGATATCGGGCCATAGCACACGAATAGAATAACGTGTTAGTCAATACATGCCTGTATTCACACTGGTACTGATAGTATGGGGAGCTATGGTTGTATAAATCTAACTACACACCCCCCATATATATATATATATATATATATATATATATATATATATATATATATATATATATATATATATATATATATATATATATATATATATATATATATATATATATGTATATATTTCTATTTATTTCTTTATACAAAAGTATAAAAAAATTTAACACATAAATATAAATATTATATATATATATATATATATATATATATATATATATATATATATATATATATATATATATATATATATATATATATATATATATATATATATATATATATGGACTAGAGCTAACAAAGCTAACAAACAAACCCAAGACCACCAACAAAGTTGATTAAAGAAAAGACAACAATACATCCCACACACTGACATCCTACAAGTACCACACACAAACAGACGGTAACAAAAGTAAACCCAAAACATAACTACACCAGTTCACGTCCCAGAAGCTTTAAGCTGTGTGTAATCCAATTGCCGAGACAAACAGTGCTTCGACTCCCTTATCACAGTGTACATCTCCACTGAACTATCATTGTAAACATGGTTGTGGTCTACAGGTAACGGTTCATATAGCTGTTGATCCCAGAAAGGGGACACGGAACTGTGTTAATTACCGTAGATTTACAGGCACCTTAAAGTCAGCACACTGAACTGAGACGATAGAATATCATAAACGACACTGCTAGCAACCAAACAACCACTGCATAAGAGAAACTCGATTCTAAGCAATCGAAATATTCTAAAGCTTCACGATTTTCTATACGGGTGTGTTAAAAGAAATCTGAATCTTGACTCAAGAGTTTTGAATGGTAAATATGCGGGGTATTTAAATTCACGGGGCTTTGAACTGGTTGCAAGTATTCCGTTCTCTGTGATGTGTTTTTTTCCCAGTATTGCGCACCATAATGTGATTTTCATACACACTGTCACCCTAACTGTCATAACACCACCTCTATCTACTAGAACAAAACACCCCTAAACTACTAGAACACCCCAGCTTACTATAACAAAACACCCCTATCCACCCGTATCGCCCCCACTCCATATGACCTTAATCTCTCTTTGTTATCTCCCCTAATCCAAATGATCCATTCGCACTGTTCGTCTTTAGTAAAATCTGATTTTGTGTAGCTTTTTGCACTTTCCTATTGTACAGTTGCAAACCAGACTTTTCCTACCTGTCCATTAGTTAACATGCTATGTTGCCAGTATTCGACTACCTGTCTATTAGTTAACTTGCCATGTTGCCGGTATCCCAGAAATCTCACAAGACAGAAAGTTTGTGTTGATGCACGTGCCGGATGTTTTAGGTCTGCCGGACAAAGACAGGACGTGGCCTTGAGTTTTGGACACGCCCGACAGCTGATCAGTGAACCGTTACAACCAATGCCACCCCACCCCCTCCCCCAGCGCGATAGACGCTGTAGCCTGCAGAACTCCAGGTCGATACAGGCCGGTTAGAGTACTCACCAGATAGAGGTACCGTTTGTTAGACCGGCTGGGAAGGGTTGCGTTATGTCACATTGACAAGGTTGTCTCGTAGATGCAACACTCGTAGGTTAAGGTTCTTCATTATAGAGACTCACTGAACGACCGAGACATCATAACTTACACTAACATTGAGACCCGCTCAGCAACATAGTACATTTAGCCCACACTGAACGACATAGAACCATCAAGTTAATCTAGCTTCCAAACCCACTGTACGTTAATTTAACATTGAGCCCCACTGATCGACAATAACCAACATCTTAATTTAACCTCATGACCCTATGAACGATCGGTGGTTCCGTAACCTCGATTCCAGACCTGCATTCTAAACTGATACAAGATTTAGTATTGTGAATTGATTACTGATAATCGATTTCCTTTTCAACAAGTTAAAATTGGCGGGAGAGCAATCAATGAAACATCAATACTCTCTACCCGTTAAAGAAAAGTACAGCTATTTTAGAATAATGGTGTTGTTTTACGCTTGTGGTTAGTTGTGCACACTTTATTCATGTTGTGTTTTGTGGTCAGTTCTGTACCATTTATTCATGTTGTGCTATGATTTGTGGTCAGTTCTGTACCATTTATTCATGTTAGTTGTGTGCCATGGTGTATGGTAAGACGTGCCCAACTGAGAGCAAATTATTGTCCAGCTAATTTGGCCTCGTTGATTCGATCACATCTTGCTAACCTAACTGGTCGCCAGGACAGGGATGTCAACGTTTCACGTCTCTCCGCAGCCACCCCCCAACCACCACCCTATCGCCACCCCACCCTACCCCATCACCCAACCACAACTCTATCGCCACCCCACCCCGTCCCATTACACCCAACCACCACCTTATCGCCACCCCACCCCATCACCCACCCTATCGCCAACCCACCCCATCACCCACAACAACCACCCTATCGCCACCCCACCCCATCCCATTACACCCAACCACCACCTTATCGCCACCCCACCCCATCACCCCCAACAATCACCCTATCGCCACCCCACCCCATCCCATTACACCCAACCACCACCTTATCACCACCCCACCCCATCACCCCCAACAATCACCCTATCGCCACCCCACCCCATCCCATTACACCCAACCACCACCTTATCGCCACCCCACCCCATCACCCCCAACAACCACCCTATCGCCACCCCACCTCATCCCACCCCCCAACCACCACTTTATCGCCACCCCACCCCATCTCCCCCAACCACCACCTTATCGCCACCCAACCCCATCACCCCCAACAACCACTCTATCGCCACCCCACCCCATCCCATTACACCCAACCACCACCCTATCGCCACCCCACCCCATCCCATTACACCAAACCACCACCCCATCTCCACATTAGGATTACAAATGTATCCCGACCACCCCAGCCCCATATGGTATTGTATAATAGAACAGGTTCCCGCAGAACGCCCTACGGCCTTGACATCCATGCTGTGTGATCGACAGGTGGAAAGTAACGTACAACACAGCAGCACTAGGGTGGGGCTGGAGACTAAGGGTCACCAGGTACACATCTCTCCCTAACCCTAGCCCTCACCCTAAAACTGATCACGTAACATTAATTACTATTCTAATGTTAAGTGATACTTTACCAAAGTCACAATCTCCATTTAACAACCAAAAACATGGACATTATATTTCATAACAATGTTAATATTTATTTTGTACTTCGCTAGCTAAAGCAACGAACAATGTAAGAAGTACTTTTATGTACTAGCTAGAAAAAGGTTTTCTGTAAATTACAATAAAGATAATAAGAATCTACTGCTAGGTTGACCAAGGTAACCTAATGAGCGATGCAGCTCTGAAGAGATTTCAGCAACCTACGCAACTATTCGATGGTTTGGTCTTAAATTGAACAAAAACGTTCATCAAGGCCAAAGTTTTAGCACATTACAAGTGATGAGTAAGTAGAAAAAAATTGTTTTAAACCAATGGTTCTAAAGTAATGGCAAGGAGCAACAAAGGCGTAGCTGGCGGGAGGTAGATGATGAGCGCCGACCTTAAGGGGGGCACCAAACGTGATGGAAAAAAAATAAATAAAAAGCTGCATTAAAGAATTATACACAGTCAAAGTTAGGAAAATAGACTACTTCTTGGGTTTCCAGACTGAGCTGTTTTTCTACATCAATTCTGTAGCACCAAAATTTAAAAAAAAAATGGTTACGGTACAGTGCATGGTAAAAATCGTATTTCCTAAATGGGAGGGGGGGGGGTGGAGATTGGTAGTTCGCCCCGGATACCAGAATGGGTCACTACGCCTCAGGCACCGACACGACAGAAAAAGCTTTAGCCATTTATTCCAAGTCACAGCGGTAGATAAGATGATACACACGTCAAATGTGCTAGGTCGGTTGTAGCCATGTCTTAAAGAGTTTGTGTAGATTGTGACAAGGTACGCTACTCTGTAAAAACTATCAAATTTGATTTAAGAGTTGTCCCCTTTTACTTCAAATTTTGTTTCTTTTGATCGGTGATTTCAACAACCTGCTCATTAGCTTTTTTATTTCCCCAACTCAGGTCAGGTACTCATCAGAGCTGGGTAGACTCAGACACTTAAATTTCTCAATAAACAAAATAAACCATGTGTCTAGTTCAGTTTTAATTGTAAAAACGCGCAGGTGAAACTTTTATCAAGCTTTATTAATTGAATCAAAACAAACAACACAAATGTACAATAAACCGTTTTAGACACAGGAAACCTCCTTAATAAACATGACAATGTATAGCTGAAGCATACAAGAAGTACGGGCTAAAATACAGACTCTTTAAACATAATCAGGGAATCAGTAACTCACTAACTAGCAGACTAAGATGTAAATATGATGTGATATCCTGCGAAAATATTTTGCAGACAGAGAGCACTATGCACAGCCGCCTTTACTTTCCTCTATGTGAGTCGGGTAAACTCATATTTATACTGACTTGAACCTGGATTCGAACTCGAGACTTTCGAGTTAGCAGCCTAGCGCTCTACCGCGATCCCATACATGGGCAAATAAGTAGTTTATTTAAATAAACAACATAGAAAAAAATGCAATTAAAGCGATTTCTAAAAGAAATAAACAGCCTGCCTAGGAGATTGAAAAATAAAACAATTCTACTTCACAATAAGATCCATGACGCAAGTGAAGTAACGTTAATCAATTCTGTGTTCTTGGCAAATAAAAGTTTGTGTGGTTTGTTCTATGCTTGTGTGCACGGTTATTGGCTTGATATTCTCGGCTTACAGACTTTTCTGTAGGACTCTCCCGCGTGTACCCAGCTGTGATGGGTACCAAGCTCGATTCTGCGACAGTTAAAGGCAGCGTGTAACCGTTCGATCTTGCTTTTTGTTGTTCGATTGATACTCACCACACCCTGTCTTGGTAAGAAACTTGCTGAGTTGAGTCATAATTGCCAGCCGTAACCAGGGGTACAAGGTGGTAAGGCATCTACTGTGTCTAGTCATAGTTGCCGGACATACCGACGGGTACATGGTGGTGGGTAACTGTGTCGTGTCATAGTTGCCAGACGTAGCCAGAGTTCAAGGTGGTAAGGCATCTACTGTGTTGTGTCATAGTTGCCGGACGTACCCACGGGTACATGGGTTAAACCGAGAGCAGCCAACAGCCGTGTCTGCACCGCATCACTGCCGCAGCTCCCTTCAAAGTATCCAGCTCTGCTGTCTGATTGTAAGCTTGTGGTTGTGGTTCTAGTGGTGGTGCTGTATTGACTGTAGGTAGTCGAGATTGTGACACCGGAGGTACTGTCAAGTGCAGAAGTCACCGACGTTTTGTCGGACATGCTGGCTGCCGGAATTCTAATGACATTTTTAGATGTGACCGTGGTTTTGCGGATTACATTCCATTCAGCTAGCCTGGCGTCCACACCAGCATCGGGGGAGTGTACAACCCCATTTTCATGGAACTCTGAAGGAGCTTTCTGTATTGAAAAAGATGGTGTGTTTAACGTAAACAAAATATTTTTACAGATTCAGATATTAACAAAAACGGGTTTCGGTTTTGAATGGGTATAGTCACATTAGAGTTATACTTCTTGAGTCAGAAACAGTATAAAAGCACTATCAAACAAGAATCCAAACAACATGATGCTAGAGTTTTTCCAAAACAAAAATAAAACGATCTTTTATTTGGTGCGCTTAACATAACAGAATTATTGTTTATTTAATTTAGTTTACGTAGATTTGCTTTTACGAATAACATCATACACACAGACGTGTGAATTTATTTTGTGCAACAAATAATGTAACATGTATTATGTCTGAATTTATCCCCACCAACGTACAATGAATGTTTGTTTAATAAATGTTTTTTTTTTTAAGTACTAAACAAAAAATATATACGTTTCACTTAGTTATGTTGCTAAGATCAAATCAACACCCTTATATTTACAGTAGTTTAATGGTCGTCCAAGTTTACATCGTTGCTCTAGCGTACCTACTTCTTCTTGGATATATCCCAGTGATTTTACCGGCTAGGCTCTGTCTGGGTTTTTGTGCAAATTTATCAGTAAAGGACTATGCCTTATGTTTATTAAGCATCATATACCCGTCAATGCCCAGTATTGGGAATATATTACATTTGTAATTAAATGTATATATGCAAGAATTGATATTTGAGGAAAAAATATAAAACTATACACATAGCTCTAACCACAACCAATCACAAACGTAAGCGGGAACACAAACGCAAACTTCAATAAAACATAAAAAAGTAAACGCGAACACGAACACGAACATAAAGATATTCAACGAATACCCAGTTCTTCGAAAGCGGCTTGGAAATTTTGGACGACAAAACCGTATATTGAGAAAAATGGCACCTAAGAAACTCCGCTTTTTAAATTTTTTTTGCAGAAACATTCCTGGGAATATTCTCATCAACATCCCAAAGTTTCGTGGCACTCGTTTGAACGGTGTCAAACCGCATCCGACTTTATTGTGTATACCATATGATGAGAAAGCTAGTATCGCACGCTGCCGGGGCGCTGTCCCTCGGAAAGTGAATATTGTTTTTTTATCGAAAACCCCTCCTGAAAAAATTCTCATCAACTCCCCAAAGTTGTATAGCGATCGGATGAAAGGTGTAGTAATGCATAAAGGACAAACCTAGTCAAGTGCAGAATACTTTCATTATATATATATACTAGGGTGCGTCCGCGCGTTGTCGAGTTTTCAGAAGAAAGTTTGAAAGTAAGAGGGCCTCATCAATGCGTTAATGGTTATATGTTTTTAGACGTATGACCTAGTTTTGTAAAACTGAGTAAACAATGCCTGCTCTATATTTCTTGTTTCATATTTGACGAGGCAGGGTATTGCGCAGCACTCCTCGTTATAGTGAAGTAGGACACACTTCGGTGCCCGCCCAGGTGTCAGGGACGTAGCGGGGGAACCGGCAGACGCGCCTAATGCAATACAGTGAACGACTATAACACCCCATCTAATATAACACACTGTTTAAAAAGAACGTAGGCGTAATAGCGCTCAAGAGAAAGCTGGGGATGCAAAACAGTGCCCTGTTGGAGCGCTGGAGGACACGACTAATTCGAATTAGTGAACGACTATAATAACCTATCATATTCATAGTCTACTGCACTGTTTAAAATGAACATATGCGCCATAGCACTCACGGGAGAGCCCGGGGCGCACCCTGCCTTGGCGCCGCTCCTACGAATTTGATTTTTTTCCCCTAAAGTTTAATGGTGACCGGATGAAAGGTGTATTAATGCATAAAGGTGAAACCTACAAACCCACAAACATACTCAAATACTTTCATATATATATATATATATATATATATATATATATATATATATATATATATATATATATAGAGAGAGAGAGAGAGAGAGAGAGAGAGAGAGAGAGAGAGAGAGGGGGATTGAGTGCGAGAGATAAAATTATTCTAGATCACCAGAATTTTAGCTAGAGCAGGAACTACAACCGACCAACAGATCTATTTGAAAATCTCAAGATTCTAACCTGAATTATTGGTTCCATTTGAGGTGATAGAAAGAGAGGTGCAAAATACCTTTTCCGTTTTACAAATTTTTTCATGAAACTGAAATACCGTCAAAACCAGAATTAATATTCAACACAATTATAATAGGAATACTAAATATTATACAAGATCAATGCTTACATGATGACAATCGTGCAATTCAATAGCGACAAATCATCCGATACTTAAGTGTATTTTATCATATACGCGGCAGTCTAATCACATTTACACTATTTAAAAACATATTCTAAACACAATTATGGAATTGAATACTTACATAAAGATGATTATAATGAACACAATTATTGTAGAAGGAACGACGCTTGCGATGACTACAGTGACTATATCTGATGGCATATCTGTTATTGATATAAAAATATTTTGACTAACATATATCTTTAATAAATAATTGAATCTTATGTACTGAATGTTTATGTATATTAATATACATATATCTATCTATATACTACTAAAACTCAAGTTTGTTTACATGTTTGAATATTTTTTGTTTGTTTGTTTGTTTGTCTGATTGACTATTGTACATAGTTCTACTCATTGTGGAGAGCTGTAAAATAGTATGTAGGTAGAGAACAATTTTTGTTTTCAGACAGACTGTTAATCACAAATTTGTTTAAAGACGTTTATTAATTTATTGATTTATACATAGGTAGATTAACCACATTAATTTTAAAGTTGTAGAACAATTGCATAACTTTGACTGAATAGTGGCTTTTGATAACTAATTTCTTTGTTTGTTTTTCTGATTTGTTATTAGGGAAAATCTGCATTATGTGTAGAGCTGTAACATAGGATTTTGTGTGGTAAATATTGTTCCTTCTTAAACACACTGTTAATTACAAACTAATTTAAAGCCGTTAATTAATTTATTGATATATTCATAGCTAGATTAACCACATTAATTATAAAAGTTTAGAACAACGAATTTAGTAATAGTAAAAAGAATTATTTTCTTTTACAACAATGTTTTCAATTATTTTTTTCTTAAGGCCTACATGTGAATGATAAGGTTGACTATCAGGACCTCGCGGGGCACAGGGCAGGTGAAGAAGAGTTCACCTGTTTCTATGTTCTCAGCATATGAAGGGATAGTGTGGTCAGAGCCATGCTCGGCCAAAATGATTTGTTTTTTTTTAAATTCAAAAATGTCTGAGACTTGGCGGGACACTGGGCAGGTGAAGTAGAGTTTAGTAGAGTTTTTAAAATATAAAAAAACGTCTTTTTGAATGTGGGGTCTGGTTATTTTGGGATGATAAGTGGTGACAGACGTGATGTCATTTATGGATGACCCCCGAAACCCACAGTTATCTAACTAGATAACGGGTAGTCTAGTATACTACTAAAACTCAATTTTGTTTACATGTTTGAATATTTATTTGTTTTTCTGATTTGGTACTGTAAGGAAATTGCTCTATAAAGGGGGCTGTAAAATAGTATGTAGGTAGAGAACAATTTTTGATTGCAGACAGACTGTTAATCACACATTTATTTAAAGGCGTTAATTAATTTATTGATTTATTCATAGGTAGATTAACCACATTAATTTTTAAGTTTTAGAACAATGGCTTAACTTTGACTGAATAGTGACGTTTGATAAATGATAACTCATTTTTTTGTTTGTTTGTTTTTTTTTATTTGTTATTGGGGAGAATCTGCATTATGTGTAGAGCTGTAAAATAGGATTTTGGGTGGTAAATATTGTTCCTTCTTAAACACACTGTTAATTACAAACTAATTTAAAGCCGTTAATTAATTTATTGAAATATTCATTGGTAGATTAACCACATTAATTATAAAAGTTTAGAACAATGAATTTAGTAATTATAAAACGATTTATTTTTACAACAATGTTTTCAATTATTTTTTCTTAACCCTTTGAGCCCGCCAGGCCGGTAAACCGGCTTCAACATTAGGCATATATGTCCGAAAAGCCGGTTTTCCGGCCCGATGATCTAGCGCACGGGTTCCCAACCTGGGGGTCGCGACCCCCCCTGGGGGTCGCGAAGGCCTTTCTGGGGGGTCGCCAACTGGTATACTAAACCTTAGTAATGAGAAACAAAACATAAATATTTAGAAGAATATCTGAAATTCGGCTTTACTAATACTAACATCACTGGAAATGGAATAGGGAAGAGGCCATGCGTACTGTACTAAGTTGTTCTCAGTCATGAGTTTATGAAATCTCCAAAACTTAAACGTCATTTTAGACGAGACATTCGGAACACACAAAAAAGATATGGAGGTCTTTCGTCTGCATGAAGCTAGTTGCAAACGTCAGAGATTTGATCGAACAGGAAGTTTTCACGAAGGAAACACAGCATTAGTGCAAGCATCACATGAAGTCGTGATAGAAAATGCCAAGCAAAAAAAAAGCACAATAGGAGAAAATCTCATCAAACGCTGCATGTTGAAGATGGTGAAATTAATTCTTGGGGATTTCAGTGCAGTAAAGATGCAACAAATATCTCTGCCTATTAATACCATTCAGCGGCTTATAACAGACATGTCCGTAGTTAAAAAAAAAATGTTTTATTGAAATCAAGATTTCACCATTGTTTGCTTTTCAAGTTGATAAATCAACAGACGTGAGTTCGTGTTCGCTGTTGCTAGTCATATATTCATTCATATGTTAGCAAAGAAGAGTTGCTATTTTGTGAAGATATCATGGAGAAAATAAAAACGTTTTATGAAGCTGGATGATTAAAATGGGTTAAAACGGCTGTGGGGGTTTGTACGTATGGTGTGCCATCTATGTTTAGGTCAAAATCGGGCTTTCAGAAAACCGAAAAGATTTAGCTCCCTAACCACTGCCATCAAGACTCCATTGCTAGAAAAAGTCATAAATTAAATATGAAGCCATTTAAAGAACTGAGCAAAGACATGAATAAAGATCATGATTTTCTGCTTTTCTACACTACAGTACGCTGGCTGTCAAACGAAATGTTGTGAATCGTGTTTTTGAATTGAAATCTGAAATCAAACTGTTCTTGGAAGTGCAAACGAATCAAGACCTTTTGGTATACTTAAAACGACATAGAGTAATTGGAGAGCGTATCATACCTAGCAGATGTGTTCGAACATCAACATAAGCTTAACCTGAAGCTTCAGGAAAAATGAAAGAATATTATCGCTTTCCATGATAATCTCGTGGAATTTTTATCAAAGCTGCAAAATTGGCGAAAAAAATAAATCTAGGAAATATTGTACATTTGAGAAACTCTGCAGTGTGGTAAGAAAAAGAAGCAATTTCTTGAATCTCTTGTAAACGAACTGCAGCCAGTGTTTCTTCCAGACTTTTTTCTCCGACGGGGGCACTTGAAATTTTCGGGGGGGCGGTAAACTTTCTTCGGGGGGGGCGGACACTGTTAAAAGTATATATTTTCTATATAAATTATATAAATTTTATTTCGTTCGGGGGGGGGGGGGGGGGGGGCGGTAAAAAATTTTACGAAGCCCCCCCCCCCCCCCCAAGAGATGCCTGGAAGAAACTCTGACTGCAGCGCTATTTCTCTGAGCTGAAAAATGAAGAATCTGCATTGACACATTACCCATTCTATGCTTCCTTTGATGTTGCCAGCATTCCCAATGAATTACAAGATGAATTCTTTGATTTGCAGAATGATTCCGCGTAAGATGAAAAACTGCACACACAATTTTGGTGTAGTATTCACCATTCATACCCAAATGTAAAATTGATTGACTTTTCGAGAATAGATTTTCAACACTATTCTCCGATTAAAAACAAAATTAAGAAATAAATTGAATTTTGATGATGACGTTTGGCGTTAACAAAAACATAACCACGAATGTTTAGTAAATAGCATGCAATTTTACTCATGGTATTAAAACAGATATCAAGGGTAGTTCATATTGAAAGTCTACTAGAAATCTTATTTTAGTGCTTGTTAATTTCTATACTAATTTCGGCTTTTTAATTCTATGGGGGTCGCGGGTCACTTACTTTTTTTAAAAGGGGGTCGCCACTCAAAAAAGGTTGGGAACCACTGATCTAGCGTCATATTCCTAGCGGCCGATATACCGTCTAATTAAATATAATTAGCGGAAGACTGACTAAAACTGCGCAAATGTCTTTTTAGTGCGTGATTATGATTCTAAAAAAAGATTTTAGGAAAAGTGAAAGTGTTTACATTTCGTAGCAATGCCGCCGAAACGAAAAGTTGAGCCACGGCCATCGACTTCAGCACATAAAGTTGGTGCAAAAGATGAAGCAAAAGTCCGAAATATCAACAAAAGAAGTAGAATGACAGCATCTCAGGCAATACAACTACTTATTGATTCTGTTGAAGAAGATAATATTCCTAGTCTATATTGTGATGATAGTGACGTTGAATTTGAGACTGAACTCAGTGACATTGAAATTGACAGTGACAATGAAACTGTTCAAGTACGTTATGATGCACGTGGTGCCAAAGACAAAGACTTGTCGGAACGAAAAAAAACTGTTTACTGGTGCAAAACATGCGAAGTTTTTCTTCGCATCGGGTCCGGCAGTGATAACTGTTTTGAAAGTTATCACACAAAAGTGGACTTCTGGCGATGAACTAGTATGGCCAGGTATCAATATTAACAAAACAATTACTAAATGTAAATTTGTTTCTTCTATGTTCTATCAAAACAATAATTATGTGTTCGATTTATATACATTGTTCTGTTCATACATTGCAAACAAATAAAGAATTTCAGAATCTTTCTGCTTTGGGGTTTGATCCTGAGTCTGGATACCAAATTTGGCTTGATTATCTCAAACGGTTCAAAAGTTATAGGCAAAGTTAGAAGCAGATAAGTGAAAATTGGTTTGGCTCTGGGAGCTCAGGAAATGGGAGAAACTAGGCCAGGGAGGCCAGGGCTCAAAGGGTTAAGGCCTATATGTGAATGATAAGGTTGACTATCAGGTGAAGTAGAGTTTAGTAGAGTTTTAAAATACAAAAAACGTCTTTTTGAATGTGGGGTCTGGTTATTTTGGGATGATAAGTGCTGGCAGACGTGATGTCATTTATGGATGACCCCCCAAAACCACAGTTATCTAACTACATAACGGGTAGTCTAGTTGATCCTAAAACTTACATGTCGTCATAGTAATCCACTATAAACTAAACTTTTCACTGATTTCCTGTACACAGGAATTGTTACTAATAATTGCATATCGTTACTAGATTTTATTTATCATGTCGTCCTTCCTGTCGTCCTTGTTAGAATCGTGAAATTTCAATCACCTCTACCGAACCGATTTGATTCAAACTTGAAACGTATGTCAAAATCCAATAACTTCGCATTATTTTGTTATTGTTTTTTTTTCGGAAACGGAAAGGAAACAAAATTGTAAACGTTTTTCAAAAATTAAAAAAAACGTTTCTGTAACTATTATAATGTCTTCTATTTAAATTGCTCTAAATAATACCGTTGTTAATAATAAAATATTTGAGCATTCGATTACAAGTAGCCTACCTATTGATATTATCTACATTTAACAAGATGGATGTGTCAGCACTTTTATAAATATTTATTCTACACTTGATGTAGTCATTAAGAATATGATCGTATGAAGGCCTGTTTCTTGTTATAGATTGATATACAAATTACCCAAGTTTTTAAACCTGGTGTGAATGCGTTTATTTATGTAGCTAACGCTCAACGATTGTTAAATTTAAAAGAAAAAATATGGTGCGATTTGGCGCCACGGGCTAGACAGTGATCACTTTGCGTTTATGTTTACGTTTGTTTTTTCTTTGTGTTTGGGTTAAAGTTGGGGTTGTGTTTGTGTTTGTGGTTGGGTTTGTGTTTGGATTTGGTTTGTTTTCGTTTGCTTTTTTATTTGTGTTTGTATTTGTGTTTTCTTTGTGTTTGTGGTTGATTTTGTAGTTGTGTTTGCGTTAGTGTTATGTTTGCGTTTTTTGTCTTTTGTTTTGTTTTAGTTTTGTTTGGTTGTGGTTAGGGTGGCCAATGTCGGGTATATGCTGATTACTAAACACACGTCATGGTCCTTTAGAGATAGATTTTTCACAGAGGCTAGTGCAAGGTTCGGCCAGGGCGGTTAGTAATATATATGACACCAAAAGCTGTAAAACCAAAAAACCAGTTACCTGGTTTGACAGTCGTTTTCTCTTCTTTTTCTTGGATTATACCACTCCAATCGGCAGCCGCCACAGCAGAATAAAAAAATTTCCATTTGTTTGTCTGAATTCCGATACTTTTCCCATTCATATGCATTACTGATACAGCTGTGTTAATTGTTGCGTTAGTAACACTTTCTGGCAGATTATCACACTTCCAACATTTGCACTCGTAGTGCTTGATTAGATGGAATGTCCGGCTGTCAGGTTGCTCTTGTCTGTTCGTACGTAGATTCACTGTGACGCTGTACAGGGATCCCCCTTTTACCTGATTTTCGTTGAACTTTTCTTTATGTGTGAATATCTGGTCCTACATAGAAAAGTAGCACAGCATGGAATTTTACATTCAATAAAACGGGAGTGAGCTGTAATAAATTTTCTCATATTTATATCTTGTAATTAAAGTGGGGTTGTTTGTTTGTTTCTCACACATATTAGATCTGGTATTTGAGGAAAGTATCAGAAAAATTATGCTGTTCACTCTCATTCTATCGGGAAAATTAGAGCCATATCCATATCAATAATCGCATTTATAATGACCGAAAACTGATATAGACTGAATGCGGTCTTATATAAACTAGACATTTTTTAAAGTGCCTGAATAAGACCGACCACTTGCAGATGCTAAAAAAAACTTGATATTTGGTTTGGAGATAGCCCTGGTGCCATATTCACCTAGAAAATACCACATTCTCATAAATGTAATTAAACTCCTCAGTTTTACGTATTAAAGTTACGTAACTGCGTCAAAAATTATATATTTTTTCTTCTTCCCCCCACCCCCCCCCCCTTCTGTTTTTTTTACTATATACAAAAAAAATGAAAGAAAAAAACAAAATATTTGATTAAAAGAAAAATTCCTCTAAAATTTATACTAACTTGTTTTTAATAGCTGTAAAAAAAAATTAATTAATTAATAATGACTAACAATTTAGTTTTTTTATCGAAAGTTGATGTAAACAAAGTAAATCCGTCACAGATAAACAATGAAGTTAGTTATTGCGGTAAGTAAGCATTTTCCGATTTACTTTTAAGTATGGCTTTTCAAAGTTATTATTAGCACCACCATTTAATTCTTGAAAGGGCTATTTAGTACAAACATTAATGAGAAAACTGAAAGAAAAAAAAATACAATTTCGACTTAAGGTCTTCCACAGTTAAATAGATCGGAATAATCATTTTTCGTAAACTTGCAATTAATTGTTTAGTAAAATTTTAGAAAATAGTAAAGAGGTATAGAGTATTGCATTTTTGCTATTGTTTTAAATTGCCGGTCACTTTTTACAAATCCTTAATTTGTAGATTTTGTGGTATTTTTTTGGCAGTTTGTGTGTGTGTACAGTGGGGGAGGGGTTGGCTGAGAGGGCTGGAGTCATGGGCCTCCAAATTTTAGGGGCACCAAAAGTTACTGCTTAATTTACAAAAATCTCGATTTTTTTTTCTGCACGGATACAAGACTTTCTCTATACTTCGTATATACGAGAAAGTAAAAAAGGTAAGGAGAGATGTTTCAAAATTTCGTTATGTGAATCAAATCTTCGTATAATTACGATTTTTAAAAGATAATTTATAATCAAGCACGATATTAAAAGTACTGTGATTGTAATATCAGGTTTGTATCACATTTATTCTGGATTAATACTCTTCAAGTAATTGAAGTTGTAACTGAATGTTATTCTCTTGCATGCTTCGCCATTTAAGCAAAATATTTGCATTTTCATTAAAAACAATTTTAAAGACACACCTACCTAAACATTTTAGACAGAAGCGTCGCTAACGACTTAAGCTTTTGTTAGTAGACGCAATATGGCGCTGTAATTTAAATATCCACGTCTACAACAGCTTCGTTTAATGAAATCTCTAATAAAGTATTGAAAATTTCATCTCCAATAATCTCTGAAGTTTTAACCTATATCTAAAACCTCTGTATTGCCAAGCAATATTACCCTAAACATTTTAAGCATGCTAAGGTTATACCACTTCACAAAAAAGGTAACATCCAAGATCCTAATAACTACAGGCCTATTTCTATACTTTCTTCCCTCTCCAAGCCACTAGAATTACATATAAACAAATGCATGTCAAACTACCTAGAAAGGCATAAGCTTTTCCATAGTAATCAGTCTGGGTTTAAAAAGTTTCATTCTTGTCACACTGTTTTGATTAAGATGAATGAAAACTGGCTTATAAATATTAACAAAAACCTACTTTGTGGCACGCTATTTGTTGATTTCAGAAAAGCCTTTGATTCTATTTATTACAGCATACTTCTTACAAATTCCACGACTTTACAGTTAGGTTACTTCACTCCTTTTTATGTAACAGATCTCAACGCGTGTTTCGCCTTAATACAATCTCTTCACAGAAATATGTTAATATAGGTGTTCCCCAGGGCTCAATCTTAGGTCCTTTACTTTTTTCATTATACATTAATGATCTTCCATTGCACATCAACGCAGGTCAGTGCGAGATGTTCGCTGATGATACTTCGTTACATGTCTTTGCAGACAGTGCTGACTCATTTAGTTACAAACTTCAAACATGTGCCACTCAGCTTGCTACTTGGACAAAATTTAACAAAATGAAATTTCACCCCGATAAAACCAAGTCCATGATTATTACAACTCATCAGAAACGCCTTCGTCTACCTTCCGCCTCATTACGCATTACTATAGACAATACAAAAATTGAACAGGTTGATAGTTACAAATGTCTAGGATTGGTTATAGATCACAAACTCACTTGGTCCAGTCATATCCATCTTCTAAAAATGTCCCTATTAAAGACAATTTTTCAACTAGCAAGGATAAAGAACCTTCTAGACTATAGGAGCAGGCTGGTTTTTTATGAGGCTTTTATTCAATCTAGGTTAATTTATGCTTATGTAGTGTGGAGCGGCAGCTTTATAACTAAGCAGCGTCCTCTACTATCACTACAAAAAGGGCTATAAAACTGGTTACTGGCTTGTCTAGTAGCCTTGATTCTTTTATTACAACTAATATACTTCCATTAAATAAAAAGTTTATATTTACTAAAGCAATTTTTTTATTGTAAAATATTCTATGAAACAGCCCCATCTTACTTATCAGACCTATTTTCTTTTAACATAAAATTAAATCGTCGTCTTTAATTTACCGATCCCATAAACAAATTTTTCCAAAAACATAGCTTCGCCTACTCTGGTTCGAATTTGTGGAACAATCTTCCTAAAAAAATAAAACTATCTAGATCTGAAAATATATTCAAATCTAATCTAAAACAACAATTATTTAATGACCTTTCTAACTGACTCATTGAAACATTTCTCATTCATCTCTTATATTCTTATTTTATCTCATCTTGTATTATAACTATGTAATATTATTTCTTTATTCCACATTTTTAGTGCTTTGTCGTTTCTATGCTATTGCTTTTTTAAATGCTGTTATTAAATTGTTGTTTTTATTTATTTATTTTAAAACGGCCAATTAGATAAAAGGCCTCCGTGCATACAATTGTTACCGTAATTGAATAAATTGAATAAATTGAAATAAATTGAGATATTCTTTGTTTTCTTTTATATTCTGTAGAAGAGCTTTTACAAAAATCATTTTTTCGCCTCTTTTAATTACTTGTGCCAAATAGATCCAGTCCTTTCACCTTTCCTGGTGTATTTAGAATAGTTTATTTTTACACAATTATACGGATATCAAAGCTTCAGTCGCATACATATTACTGAGAGAGCCATCTCATACAAACACTAAGCGTGTATAAATAATTGGGCTAAATCCCCATCAGTTGAAATTTTTACCCTAGTTTGGAATACTAGCGTATTTTCACTTGCATTTGCTTACTTATTGTTTTTAATTTAACACCCACACATACCCACACACATCCACCCACAATATATATATATATATATATATATATATATATATATATTTAATATATATATATATATATATATTTAATATATATATATATAGGGTACCCCAAAAAGTCTCAACCGGGGGCCCAGCTCTAGCTTAATCTTCCCCTATGTGTAGGGGGGGGGGAGGGAGGGGGAGGAATCGGGAAAACTTTTAAATACATAAATAATTTGATTAGTTACTAAATTTATCTCTTTTTTGTTTAATTCAAAACTAGTTTTTGCGATTTTTTGCTATGACGGTATAAAAAGCTATATACTCTTACATGATACTACCCCGATATTTTATTTTTGGTAATTTAATTTTATAACATGAGATTGTTGCTTACCATGAGAGTGAAAGTAAGTGAAAAACGTTTTTCTGTATACGGATTTGATGTTTAATACATTTGTTACGATCCCAAGGGATCTTTACCTGTGTTTGGCCCCATCGAGGAGACAGGTGACCAGCGCTTGAATAGCCGGCCAGGTAATTAAAATGAAATGCGGAGGCATGTTCATGTACTGGCCAGGGTAGGCCGTGAGAGTCTGGGGGTCTTGACGGCCACACCATGGATTGGATTCCACGCTGTGGGCGGTGCAGAATTGGAGTCGCCACGGGCTGACCTAGGCTAGTGACACTCCGTGGTTTATGGCTGGGAAAACCTTCCAGATCGGAGGGGGCCGAGTGGACCGTCATGGACGGATCTGACCTAGGGTCAAGCTCCAATTAAAATTGTTCCCACGGTGAAGCACGGGGGACGAGTATTTTAGGAGGGGCACACACAGGACACACACCCGGACACTCGGATCTATGTAAATAAAGTTGAAAGTTAAAAAGCACTGTTGATCGTGTTCCCGAATGAAAGAACTCACAATAACGACCGTATTGTCATATCAACAATATACGTGTAGTTAGAGTGTTGTTGCTTTCAGAGTAGCTGTTTTTTGTGTATTTTTTTTATTTGAACGCGCATACATGTTTCAGTTAACATAAAAATGTATACATGGCTGTAAATGGCTGGACAAAGACTAGCAAATCACGGCTAGTTACTATATAACAACATGGCTAGGGATGGTTATTCCAGTTGAATCATCTGCAGAAATATTGAAGTTAGTGAGGTAATTGCTCGTTTTGCAACATAACAAATAGAGGCGAAATTTTCTTAGAATATTTTACTTTATGAGAATGTAAAATAATATTTTTTTTTAGAATTTTGAAGATTTTTGAGACATCAAAAATAGGGATAAGTAGGCCTACCCTTTCCGGTTATAGGGAATTGGTCGAAAATTGAAAGAAATCTACGTAATGAACTTAATGCTTATATATGAAATTTCGTCAACTCTTCTGAAACGGTCCTCAAGTTCTCGTGTCCACACATAAGTAAAATAAATTACTAATAATGTTTACCGGAATTAACTCAAAGAATTTTTGAAACCAGACTATAAGATCTTAAGCTTATATATAAAATGTCGCCAATCCAACTTAATAGTTACTTAAATTATCAATATTTCAGATACTGGGAATAGAATAAAGTACCACTCCCGGATATCGGAGATCGCTTAAATTAAAAGTTATCTATATTTGAAATTTCGGCTATCGACTTGAACAGTATTCAAGTTACCGTGCTCCCACGGAAATAAAGTTATTTACCAATTCTGGTTACCGGAAATCACTAAAAGTTGACGAGAGACTAATACTTAGATACTTTTATGAAATTTCTACGACTCACTACGACAGAACTAAACCTATTATGGTCAGACATACACACACATGCGCGCACACGCACGCACGCGCACACACAAAGTACACATAAACAAACAAGCATTTTTCCAACTCAGGCAGGTGTAAAACCTCAATTTTGTCGAAATCTCGATTTCGACTTTTTGCACAATTAAGATACTTTCTCTTTACTCTGTATACGAGAAAGTAAAAAACATATTCTATATAAAAAAAATTTAACAAGAAGCTTTTAAATAATAATTCACTAAAAATGAGATAGTAATTGACTTTCTTTAAATATGTAATAATTCACTACTCTTTAAATTACTATAAAAATATATTTGATTAATATTTGAATATTATTATTTAGGCCTTATATAAGATGTTACGGAAAATAACATATTCCTATATTATAATATCAATTAATAATGTAGCTAAGAACACATAGTATGTTAATGAATTAGTAATTTTACTGCATGTTTAAAGAGGTATACTAAATTTTTGTGGACGTCAAAATCTCTAGTTAGATTTTTTGTACGATTACAATGCATCAGTAATGTTTCATATATGAGAAAGTAGGAAAGTGTAAAACGGCGCAACTGTTATTTAGCATAATTAAAATATTTCCTCTCTACTCTGTATACGAGAAAGCAAAAATGCTTACCTTACATACGTTGTACTGAAAAAAAATTTGGTCCTTTTCTTCTTCACACCAATGCACGGCAATGATTTGTTTATGTTTTATGTCTTCCAGATTTATATTCACCATCACTTGATCGTTTTCTACAGGTCCAACAAGTGATACATCTTTGAGGAAATCTAAATCTTAGAAAAACATTTTATAACCTATAAACTTAGCTGCCTATAGATATATTGTGAGTTTCTATTCATATAAGGTTGCTCGTACCTTCGTCATCAGTAAAACATAGGACCAGCAGGAACAATATTGATTTCCTCCAAGGCAATCAAATGTTGAGTGATGCTGTTTATGAAATTGTTGTAAACTATGGCCCAAATATAGTACAGCGTTCTCCACTAACAGTATTTCACGTATTTGCTCATTTAGTCTATTTTAATTAACTTATTTTACATTTAGAAGTTATGTAGTAAATAAATTATTAATCAGAACTCTGGTTCAATTTGTACATCGAATACTTTTCATTTTGGTGACATTATGAAAAATAATATTATTGAATGATACGTGATAAAAGCTTACTGATTGGTTTTGGTAATACAAGCTCCGAGTAGTTGTCCGACCTTCCAAGCTCATTGACCGACCAAACTTTGAACGTGATCTGCTCAGATAGAGATGTCAGCTTCTGAACAAAGTGAGGTTTCTTGACTGAATGTGTTGTAGAATTTGCTTGACCAACGGTCACTTCCACCTGGTAGGAGATATTGCTGCCGCCCATTGCATCTCTTGGCAAAGGCTGTTGGAGATCCAAGATACAGCAAAAGTTTAAAAATTTTATATGGTTGTAAATTACAATAAAATGGTTGTTCACTTCGTGTTTGTGAAATAAAAATTAGAGTATTTGGTAATCTACAATCAATTTGAAAAAAAAGCTTTATCGAATATTCTTATATAACACTACGAGGGATGGCAACTTTGGGATAGAGACATGATTCTTAATCAATTCCTAATTACTTAAACTTTTTAAAATAGAATAGAATCTCGTAAAAAAAACAATTGCGCACCAATTTAATGGCAAACAATACGTGTATAATAGTGCGGAAAATAATTACTTTGTAAAGTCATATGCGTTTTTAGAGAAATCGGAAATAGCGTAAACTACTACTTCCGGTCAACAGAAAGTACTCAAAATTTGATAGAAGTAAGACACTTAAATCTTTTACTTATTTGTGAAATTTTGTTTATCTATCTGAGACAGTATTCAAGTTATAGGCTTTTGAAAAAAAAAACATAAGTATAATAAGTTCCTCTTCTGGTTATCGGAAATCGCTGAAAAGTTGAAACATTACTACGATTTTAATATAATACTTATATATGAAATTTTATCAATGTAGCTGTAACTGTAGGCCCTACTCAAATTATCGTGTTGAGAGTCACACCTACACATACATAGACACACAGACATACAGACAAAATTGTAAAACCTTGTTTTTCCGACTCAGGATATATTTAATTTGCACGATTACGAATACTTCGTATACGAGAAAGTAAAAAACAGAAACAGCGCACTTCTCTAAGTTATTTAGCTTTAGATATTAGGGCTTCGCGATTACTGTTCACTATGCAAATCGATGTGTTTCTTTTTAAAACTACAGCAGTGCTTTTTTTTCTATCCTACATTTAAAATGCTACTTACATATTGATACCATTTGATATTTTTATGTACTCGTGTACGAAGCATAGAAGAAGTAGTATAATCGTGCAAAAATATTTTACACTTATGAGAGTCGAAAAAATTTTTATAATTTTGTTTATATGCCTGTGTTTGTATCTGTGTTTAAACGCGATCACTTGAGTATCGTTGCAGTTAGGTTGATGAAAAAAATATTCTAAGTAGAAAGTCAAATTTACCGTTCTGTATCAACTTTTGAACGATTTCATTAACCGGAAAAAGTGTTCATGCCACTTCAAGTTTTTTTTAAAAAGACAACAGTTAGAGTACCGTTTAAAAGATACATTGTTGAAATATTGTATAAAAAAGTTTTTGTCAAATTGAGAACAAGTTTCGGTTATCGGAAAATGCTATTTACTCTATTTTCTTGTGCGAGTCTCTCTGTGAACACAATCATTTAGTACCTTTTCAGTTAGGTAGACGAGATTTTATATTTAGGTATAAGACCATATACTTGAATTACACGTAATGTTGGGGTGAGCCCAATAAACAGAAGTGGTATTTTACACTATTTGTTTTGTTTTCTAAAATGTCGAAAACGTGGGTACCATTTCTGTTAGGTGACCGAAATTTTAAACATATGTATACGATCAAAACATCTTGATTCTGCACAAATTTAAGTGATTTTCGACGACCGGTAATATTCCTTTAAGCTATTTCTGATTTCGGAAAATATTTTTTTTTATCATGCCGATGTCTTCAAAACGTTTCCTGTTGGTCAAGTATGGATGGCACTGCATTATGACATAAAATAGAGCTGAATTTGTTGTTTAATTAGCTTTTAAAAAATTAATCAATGTTTCCTTTATAAAGCACAAAACTATCCGTTCTATTATAAGCACATTTTTACGTTCACTTCGTGTGCCATTCTTATTTTTAGGAAATTATTTTGCAGTACAGTTTGTTATTATGTATTCAAATAAGTAATAGCTGTCCTAAACGTAGTCGCAATGATCTACCCCTACAGGTAATTAGTAAAAAAAAATGATAATTGTTGCATTTTGTGTACACTTGGTGTTTTTAAAACAACCGCCATCTTTTTTTTAACAAATGGATATAAAGTTCAAAACAATTTAGTTCGAAAATTTACATCTCTCCCTGGTCACTTTCAAATGGGAGAGAACGAGACTTATAAGCCTTATATATAGAAAGATTAAGGGAGATCACGCCTCGCTTTATTTGAACGGTTCCCAGAAACATGCTCAACGGAAAAAAGCGCAAATAGAAAAAAGCGCAAACAGAAATTTAAGCACACAGCATATATATGTATTTATGATCGGAAAACATTAGCAATTTCTGTGAATTTTAGAAAGAACGGTGGAACTTTTAAAAAATTAAAATACAAAGGATTGAGAATAAATGTATACACACATACACAGACCAACTTAAACATGCAAGCATAAACACACCCCCCCCCCACACACACACACACACACATATATATATATATATATATATATATATATATATATATATATATATATATATATATATATATATATATATATATATATATATATATGGTGACAGGACAAATGATCTCAGACAAAATATCTCAGACAAAATATCTCACACCTAAATTTTAATAGTGTATTGGGTGACTTTAGTTGATCTGAACAATTTTTATTAACTGTCGTATGGTTTTGTTTAATATGTTTAATATTGTTTATAGGCCCATATGATAATTGTAAGAAATGTTTGCCGTATAAATTTATCATATTGCACTTTTAAAATTGTATATTGCATTTTAAAATTAGGATTATTACTATAGAAGATGAAAGAAATTGTTCGATAGACAGCGTAGGCGGGCTTGCCAAACATGAGACAATCCAACCATGTCAGGTGGACGAAACTAGATCAAAGAGGATGAAATAACAATAGAGAAACACCTTCGTATCAAGGTGGCTTTGATGGTAGAGACATGCCTTAAGGGAAAAACATCCGCCCTCCATGAACAATACAACTAATAGCTAAATTCAATAGTTATGCGTCGGTCACACCTTAGTGATCAGGTCACAAATGCTTATTTAAGACAAACAGCGGTCATCGCGGAGTTAGAACATGTCGAGCAAATGTTCACACAATACACGATCTCATAGTATCGGAGAGGTGTGATCATAACGATGTATTGTCAGCAAAGTAACGTAAACGTTATGTTTGTGTTGATCATGCAATAAAAACAATAATTTTACGTTACGAACCTAGAGACCCATTAACATTTTTGAAAGATATTTGCCATGTTTTAAACATTATTGTTGTATAGCTACCGTTACTTTGTTTTATACATTATTATTTATCATACCTTTTAGGCTAAAGGTGAAAGTTTGTTTTAATTTTTATTTTTTCAAATCAAATGCCATTACAAAGATTAAGTTAAATAAATCTTTTGATGGTTTGTTAAGTTTAACAAATTCATTTTATTCACAATTATGATGCATAAAGAGAGTAAACAAAACCATATTGACAGTCAATTTAAAAAAAAGTTCAAATGAACTACAATCATTGTACTTACTATCAACATTTTGCTGTGAGATATTTTGTCTGAGATATTTTGTCTGAGATCATTTGTCCATGATATCATTTGTCCTGATATATTTTGTCCTGGTATCTTTTGTCCTTGAGATCATCTGTCCTGAGATCATTTGTCCATTTGTCCTGAGATCATTTGTCATGGAACCATATATATATATATATATATATATATATATATATATATATATATATATATATATATATATATATATATATATATACTGTCAAACTCTCAATTTATGAAAAATCCGTGTCATTTTCAGTGTGCATAATTTTTTTGTTTGCGCATTTTTCTGTTTACGCATTTTTCTGTTTGCGCATTTTTCTGTGTACGCAATTTTTTGTGCGTACGCATTTTTCTGTATTCGCAATTTTCTTTTTGCGCTTTTTTTTGGTGCGCATTTTTCTCTTTACACATTTTTCTGAGTGCGCAAATTTCCGTGTGCTCTTATTTCTGTTTTTCGCTTTTTTTCCGTTGCGCAAATTTTTGTGCGCCCGTCTTACTGGTCACCTATTTTAACTCTCAATTATTTTGAGAAGTTTTTACGAAGTAGTTTCGGTTTTCTTTGCAAAAAAAAAAAAAACATAGTAATATTTCAATTACGTAAATCTGAATTTTTGCAAAGATGTGCTGCTTTTGCTAAATGTAGCTTAAGTTTCAAAGAAACGAAAACCCTGTGGGTAAAACATAATTGGTATCACGTTTTCAAATAAAATAGTTATAGCAACTTAGTTTGTAAAGATGATTGTGAAACTAAAATGTAATTTTTAAAATTTTAATAATTGTTTCTTCTTGCTGTTATTCTTCTGATTTTATATAAAAACTAGCCATCTTAAAGTTCTCCATATATTGCTGAAGATACTAATCTCATAGCCTCTGAAAATATGTAACGGACAGAGAGAGAGAGAGAGAGATGCGCACATTGGTTTTTAAATATCAGGATATAATTGAATTAAAAACGTATACTAACATTCAACATTTATATAAATTATATAACACTAAATGCTCTTTAAAAAAACAAAAACAAATGTGCGCTTACATCCCACATAATTAGAAGGCTTTCATTGGGGGAGATAATCGGCGAATAGCGGAATTTCTCGATGTTTGGGCTAGATGATGGAACTGTAGATAAAAACAAAAAAAACTTGAATTAGAAATAAATAACAAAATAATATTTTACCACAAGATTTTACTGCATTTACTCACGCTACTTGCCTGATAATTCATTGTCTAGCCATCGGTACCCGTAACACGTTAATTATAGGCCTATATTTTTTAAATTTTATACTTTTTTGATAAACAAACTTTATAAAATAGTTATTGGTCAAAACGCTATGTAGTTTACAACACTTTGAAGGATATTATTGACAAAGGAGGAAGAAAAAACTAAACAGCTAAATGTCCGACGCATTTAACATAACATAGGCAACAAAATAATTTTAAAAAACTAAAACTAAATTATATACATTATTAGTCAACACACCACCAAACAGATTATGTGGCTTAAATAAATGATTCCGATAAAAACACGGCAACTCAATGGTATTTTTGTTTGTTTTATAAACTAATTTACTTTTATTGTGTTCAGCCGAGAAATATGTATGCATTTCATATGTTTTGATAAGTAGATCTACAGATCTAAATCAAATTTGAATGAAATAGTTAATGTATTCAAATTCTTAGTTTGGAAAATGTGGAAAGTGAATCTATAATTGAAGACTGGCCAATCTTTAAAAAAAACATCAATTAAAAGTCACTTCGTCAGATCGCATCAAATCACCTTAAGCGGTGGTAAAAAATCTATAGATATAAAGCCAAGTGGTCAGGTGCCCGATAGGGCACTTCCCGGCGCCGCAGGCGCGTCAAATTTGGCACGATGGTGCCTTGGGACGATAGAACACGATGGCGGTAAAGGTATGCCGAAAAGTCTACGGACAGGGGGTCAAAACTGACCTCGACTGACCGGCGCCTTATATGGGCTATATTACGAAAAAAAATTTCCTCCGACGACCCCCTTGAAATTTTGTGAGGTGGTAGGAGAACGCCCTGGGGTGTCACAAAAAACTCGGCATATCTGGGAAAAAATTCGTTAAGGGGTCAAAACTGACCAGTTGTATTTCCCTATATAATCTTTGTATTTTATGGGAAAAACAGAGGGTCATTTGAAAACGGATTTTAGGGCACTAACCCTCTTTACATCTGGCTAATTTTTTGGCATGCTTATAGGTAAATGGCTTGGCCGTAGGGCAGACCTGTCGGTTTTACTCAAAGCCCTCGACGAGGGCTATAAAGTGACCGCGAGTGAAATTCTCTTTATATGAGCTCTATTACGAAAAAAAATTTCCTCCGACGAACCCCCCTTGATATTTTGTGAGGTGGTAGGAGAACGCCTTGGGGTGTCACAAAAAACTCGGCATATCTGGGAAAACTTCGTAAAGGGGTTAAAACTGACCAGTTGTATTTCCCTATATAATCTTTGTATTTTATGAGAAAAAAAAGAGGGTTATTTCAACGCAGACTTTAGGGTACTTAAACTCAGTATATCTGGCTAATTTTTTGCATACTCTTAGGTCAATGGCTTGGCCGTAGCGCAGACCTGTCGGTTTCCCTCAAAGCTCTCGACGAGGGCTAAAAGGTGACCGCGAGTGAAATTCTCTATATATGAGCTCTATTACGAAAAAAATTTTCTCCGACGACCCCCCTTGAAATTTTGTGAGGTGGTACGAGAACGCCTTGGGGTGTCACAAAAAACTCGCCATGTCCGGGAAAAATCGGGAAATGGGTCAAAACTGACCAGTCGTATTTCCCTATATAATCTTTGTTTTTTATGGGGAAAACAGAGGGTCATTTCAAAACGGATTTTAGGGCACTTACACTCTTTATATCTGGCTAAGTTTTGGCATTCTTATATGTAAATGGCTTGGCCGTAGGGCAGACCTGTTGGTTTCACTCAAAGCCCTCGACGAGGGCTAAAAAGTGACCGCGAGTGAAATTCTCTTTATATGAGCTCTATTACGAAAAAAAATTTCCTCCGACTACCCCCATTGATATATTGTGAGGTGGTAGGAGAACGCCTTGGGGTGTCACAAAAAACTCGCCATGTCCGGGAAAAATCGGGAAATGGGTCAAAACTGACCAGTCGTATTTCCCTATATAATCTTTGTATTTTATGGGGAAAACATGGTAATTTCTACACACATTTTAGGGTACTTACTCTTTGTATAACTGGCTAATTTTTTGCATACACCTCTATAGATGACTGGGCCGTATGGAAAAACTGTTGGTCAGCATCAACGCCCTCGAAGAGGGCTAAAAATGACTGCGAGGGAAATTCTCATTATACGAGATTTGGTCATTTGGTCTATGAACAGGGGCGGTAACTTTTTAATGTAACAATTTTTTTTATATTTTGTATACTCTTTCTAAGAAAAAAACAAAAATCATAATGTATAGCATTGTTTTAAATGGATATTTTGTTATAAATTAAGTTTTGTGTTGTATTGAAATTGTAAAATTAATTGCAAAATTAATTTAATATTATATTTGATTAATAATTTTTATGAAAGCCCTTTCATTTCTAATAACCTTGCGAGTAATAAGTTTGCGAATATTCCATCAATTTATGGGCACAATAAAAGTACCCCACTGTATAAATTTAGGCCCTAAGCATTTAACATAACAGCCAATCACCTATTAATTAATCATTCAATTTCTCAACTTTTTTGAAAGCCTAAGCGAAGCTAGGCAGTATGCCTAGTATGTATATACAAGAATACTGTATAGGGTCTACACGGTGAATTAGTTCTTACTTGAAAGAATTTAGACAACCCAGCATAATAGGCTAACCCTAACAATCAATAGGAAAATTCCAGACCTTCATTAAATTGTGTTAAAATGACAAGCCATTTATTTACCAAACAAAGGCCGCAAAAATATGAATTATTCTCCTCGATAAAACTCGCCCTCATCAGCTGTCGTCGCTTTCTGCTCGGAAACTGTTAACACAAAGAGATGCTTCCTAAAATATTATACATTTTATTTCTGGCATACAATTCGGTTGATCGACTAGTTTCAGGAAATAAAGCAACGAATTATAACAGGCTAGAAAAAACACGTTTTACTTAAACATGTGATTGCTTGAGTATGAGTGATTCTAACAGCTTACAAATGGAGATCCCTCTTTTCGGGGGCCTCAAAAAATTTTCTTATCAACAATAGTAAAGATTTTTATTTGTTTTGTACAATCTAAATAAACGGTGAATTTACAAACCATAAGCTTTTTTTCCTCTAAAATTTACAAAGACGAAACTATTGAATTTTTTCTCTCGTGAAAATATACGTTTTTCAGTTAGTGGAATATCAAAGACCACGCTCTGCGGTGCAAACTGTAGCTGTCATCTCTCCAAGTCAAATAATGTTTATTTTACAAGAGCTCTCCCTAAAATAATAAATTTGTATAAGATTGATCTAGCTTTGCCTATGAAATACAACCAGTAAGTATATTACATCAGGGCTAGCTTACTTCGTCAGATATGTATATGTATGGAGGACTGAACAAACAAACTAAAATAATATAAAGTGATATATATATATATATATATATATATATATATATATATATATATATATATATATTAGTAGACTGCCTCACTAAATCAATTATTTAAACCATTTCCTAATTTAGCAATTAAACCTTTTTCATTGCAAAGTATATATGTAGTGGAATAACAAATCACACAAAAATGTGCTTTAACTCATTTCGGGACTGATATAATAGTTTTTTCGAAAACCTCTAGGCCTATATATTATTTACTAGCAGCGTATACCCTGCTTTCTACGGGTTTTTGAGAAATACAAAAGATTTTGACTAACACTTGTACATATAAATATGGATGCGAAGGAATATATATAACATTAACACTAACTACAACCAAAACCCCATAAATAAACACAAAGACAATTATAGACAGAAATAAATACCTATCCCAATCCCCATCCATATAACTAACGCTATAATTATTCATATCGCTATCCCTATCCCTATTATTATCGTTATCCTTATACTTATGCCTATTTTTATGGCTATCGCTATCCCTATCACAAAAATATCCGTTACTCTTCTCTATCCTAATGCCATTTCATTTTCCCTATCGCTATCCACATTATTATTCCTATACCTCTTACTGTCTCTATTTAAAAACTATCTGATTCTCTTTTTCTGCCTCTATCCCAATTGTTATTTTTCATATCGTTATCCCTTTAGATTCCACTATTTATATCCCTTACGCATTTCTGTAACTATATCTATAACTGTAGCGGTACACCTTCCTGGACATATACCGGTACCTGTATTACTTATTGCCATCTCACTTTATTTAGATGAACGGTGGGTGACTTATAGAGGGGGAGGGGATGTCCTACTGCCGTTGTTTGGGTGGGAGTTATATAAAGAAGGCAAATGACATGAGGAGTTAATTACGGATGGGGAGAATGAGATTTGATAATAGTTAATGAAAAAGCAGCTTTATTATTATGCTTTAAGATCTTTTTTACTTTCTCGTATATACGAAGTATATAGAAAGTCTTGTAATCGTGCACAAAAAAAAATCGAGATTTTTACAAATCTCGACGTTTTACACCTCACTGATACGGAAAAACATAATTTTGCAATCTTGTCCGTATGTCTGTGTGTCTGTCTGTCTGTCAGTGTGTCCGTGTGTAAACACGATAACTTGAGTACCGTTACAGCTAGGTTGATGAAATTTCATATATAAGTATTTTATCAAAATCGTAGATCCGCATCAACTTTTGAGCGATTTCCGATAAACGGAAGTGGTACTTTTCCTACTTTGAATTTTTCAAAAGCCTATAACTTGAGTACTATTTCAGATAGATAAATGAAATTTCACATGTAAGTAAAAGATCTAATTCTATACCTTCTGTTAAATTTTGAGTAATTTCCGTTGACCGGAAGTAGTAATTTACGCTACTTTCGATTTCTCAAAAAACAAATGTAAATTTTTAAAGTACTAATAATATTGCGCACTATTATGCACTTTTTTATTTGGCGTTCACTTGGTGTGCAATTAATTTGTCTACGAGATTTTATTCTATTTTTAAGA